CCTGTCTGGTCATTGAAGGACACACCTCATTTTGTATTTTCTGTATTTGATAGGCTAATGTAGGTTACACCCATTTTTGTATCAGTGAACCAATCGTAATCTCTTTATTGTTTTAATTGTAGATAAAATGTCTCTAACTGCATTTGTCCATCAGTAGGGTTTAGACTCCCGACACAGGTCAGCTCTAGCCCTCAGCCCAGAGGGTTGTACCGACTCTCTGTGGCCACCCCATGTTACTCCATTCTTGTAAATAAAAGTGATTAGCTTCTTGTGACTTCGGACTCTTTTGCTGAGTTAATTCCCCCAAGCAGACCAGCATGCCAGTTAGATAAGGTGATCCACCAGAACCATCACTTGGACCCCAGACCCATATCATAATAGAGCACATCTATTTGTAATACCATAGGCATACAGGAAATATGTCAACACAATTAGTCCCAGTTGAATTAGGATTAGCACGATTAAGTACTCCCCTCTGTCTGGTCATTTCAGTGGTTATTGTAGGACACACCCCACTCTGTATGTCATTGGTTATTGTAGGGCACTCCCATTTTGTATCATTCAACTAATCGCAATCTTTTTCTTGTTTCAGATAAATAGTTAGGAATTCCAAATGTTTGTCAGTAGGGTTTAGACAGGTCAGCTCAAGCCCTCAGCCCAGAAGGTTGTACCAACTCTGTGGCCACCATGTTTCTGTTTCTTGTTAATAAAATTGTGATTAGCTTCTTGTGACTTCGGACTCTTTGCTGAGCTAATTCCCCATAAGCAGACCAGCACGCCAGTTAAAGGGGTTTCACCGGAACCCTCACTGGGACCCATAGTTGGCGGAGAATCAACAATTTTCGGAGCCTCTGAGTCCAGGAACTAATTACAGCCAGCTACAAGAACATATGGAATAACAAGCAGCTGCATCCATCTGATCTCACCACTGAATTAAGGACCACCAACTCCTGTAAAGTCACCAACCAAGGAAGAAAGTCTTCAAAAATTGTAAGTACTACTTTACATTGATTTCTTGTCTTTCTTAATTATAGTACGGTACATACTATAAGATGTCATGGCCAATATGGAGTGAGGTATGTGAACTTCCTCAATGACAATGATGCTGGTTTAGATTATAGCTGCCATTCCCTCATAGGTAACAGCACCTCAGATAGGCAATACATCAATTTCATTGCCATATCAGATCAAGAAATTTGTGGATTAGCAAAAAACAATAGATCAAATTTATACCAGCCATTCATAAATACAGTTAACACTGACAGTAAGAAGACCGACAATGACACTAAGGATTGTCAAAATTGCTCAAGATTGAGTATTTCGACCTGGCCAAGACACAACTGACGCCTGACCAACAACAAAGACTTCTCAGTTTTAGAACAAAATGGACGTTTTCAACAAGCCTTGCAGACTTAGGAAAGACTGACATGGGCAACCATCCCCCTGTTAAGTGTTGGCCTTATCGTCAATCTCTTCATCTCCAAAAAGTCACTGAAGAACTTGTAGAAATTTTCTCCAATATGATTTAATTGAGTCGACTTCAATGTATTCAGCCCCCATCATCTTAGTTAAGAAACATGATGGTTCATATAAATTTGTGACTACAAACAAATAAATTCTGTGACATTACCAATGTCATGGCCACTCCCTGTTTTTTTCTCCATGTTAGATCTTGCAAATGGCGTTTTCAAAGTGCCATTACACAAAGATTCAAAGCATAAAACTGCTTTTGTCACCCATCAAGGCCTTTGTCAGTTCAAGCGTTTGCCCCAGGGTTTGTCTTATTCTCCATTTTGATTTCAGCAACTCATGAGCAAAGTGCTAAGAAAATTGCTTTTTAAAGTTGCACTGATTTACATAGATGATCTGATAATCTACAGCAAAAGCTTTGAAGAACATCTCCAACATTTGGAGCAGGTCTTCTATCTCAAACAGGAAAAATTAACACTGAAGCCATCAAAATGCAATTTTGCAACAGACAAGGGTTTCATTTCTGGGTCATGTTTTATCATGTGGAGGTGTCCAAGTCAATAACAGGAAGGTTGAAGCAATTACAACCTTCCCAGTACCCAAATCACAAAAACAGGTTCGTTCATTTTGAGGCCTCTCAAATCTTTACAGAAAATGTGTGAAAGATTACGCTAAAATAGCACTGCCATTGAATGCATTGTTAAAAAAGCATTCACAGGCAGAAACTGGGAGAACCAAAGTTCCAGTGGTCACTCTTGAGTGTGATCAGGCATTCAACACACTCAAACATGGTATGTGTAACGCCTGTTCTGGCTTATCCAGACTTTGACAAAGAATATTTTCTCGCAAGCAATGCCAGCAATATGAGCATAGGGTTTGTCTTGAGTCAAAAACATGAGAAGAATAATGAACATCCTATAGCTTTTGGTGGAAGAGCTCTACATGGCAGCGAGAAGAACTGCAGCATTACAGAATAAGAAGGCTTAGCTCTTGACGCCATCAGATCCTTTCGTCCATATCTGGCAAACTCTAAATTCACTGTCTACATGGACCACATAGCATTGAAATGGCTCAAATCATATCAAGGACGTCGCAGGTAGATCAGGGTGATGGTCATTAGAACTCTCTACCTATACTTTTGATATTGTTCATCGCAGCGGCAAAAATGTCAATGCGCTCTCACACAGGATGTATGAGCATAATATGAACTGTCAAAATCAAACAGAAGAAGATGCTGAGGAAACAGTCTTTTCAGTAACTTCACTTAGGCAAAGAAGCAGTACCAGAATTTTGGCAAGTCCACTTTCATCCTCACAGGTCGCCCAATCTACTGAAGATGTTTGCACACCAAATATTAATCATTTAGATTCAGTCACAGGCAATGGGTTGGTCCGTCACCTTTGAATATGAAGAGGATTACCAGCAAATGTTGTTGCAGCATTACACGCTACAAGTGACGATGTCACACAAGCCACAATGGTTGAGGTAAATATTAATGCACCTCACAACTTAAGTCACAAAGCATTTGTCTAGACTTCACACAGATTTTCGACTTCAAAGGTGTCCTTCCAGTAAGTTAAAAGGATCCTTTTTTTTAAAGATCCTTATTGAAGCCCTTACCTTTGAAATTGAAAGAATTTTATACAGATTCTTTCCTCCAAACAGAAGGGTCATGCGGACATATTCATTAAACAGCTGTCAGTTCCAAGAACTCTCAGTAATCAGGTCCTGAAATCCTACCATGATTCTGTGTTTGGCAGTAGCCACCATGGAAAGAAAAGATGCACAACACCATGAGACCAAAATACTCTCAAGGATGGTGATGAAACAGATTTGCTTGGACTCGTGAAATCCAACCTATCGCTTGATAATTCTGATGGCAATACAATAAACACGCTGGCTGATCTTGTTAAACAACTCTTCAGGGCAAAGGCCGATGAATCTGCTCTGTCAAAGTTGAAGAGCGTTAAACGACCAGCAAATTGTGACGAACTCAACACGCAGGGAGTAAACAAACTTATGTGGGATTCTTTGACACTCGATGTGCAGTCTATGGACAATTGTATTCAGAGGGTTCAAACTGGAATTATGAAACAATTCAGTGTCTCATCGGGTGGTCATGTCACCTATACATTTTGAGACATTTAATACAATGGCTAATTTAAGCTTTTCTATAGGTATCATACTTTTACATATCTCAACATAAACTTTGACCGAAGACCTGTAAGATGGTAATGAATAGATGAGACATATACAACACACAAGAAAAAGCATAAAATATCTTTGAGATAACCCCTTGTGCCTGTATGCAGCACATGCATTTCATGCCAGATGAGTTGACGGTCCGTGGAAGTGTCGAATTTCAGATACTTTGATTCCTGATGTGTAGATATGCGTCTTGTAGGTCTATGCTGACCAAGTAATCAGCTGGACGGACGAGTTGTCTGAGTTGCGGCAGGTGGATCATGTTGAATTTCTCTGGCTTGAGTAGATAGTCTGGGTTGAATCTCTTCATGTTGTATATCAACTTGAACTTCTTTGGAGTTCTTCTTGGGTACCAAGAAAATTGGGCAGTAGAAGCCAGGCGTCAGATGATGTTGATCTATCACTTCTACGACGTTCTTGGCCAATAGTGAGTTGATGGCTTCTAACTTTACTGCCTGATCGTCTGCGTAGTTGAAGACTAACAGGTTGAGTCAGCGGTGGTGTGCTCTTCAGCTACACTCTGTAGCCTTCTCACAGTGAGATGTAGTCGTCCTCCAATATTCCCCAATTTCCCAGTACCTTTGTAGAATTCCACCCACAGTTGACGGTTGTTCAGGAATGGCTGGAGGTGGATTAAATTGCAAATCTGATAAATTAATACAGTATCTGCAACGCAAGCTGGAAGAACATGTATTAATGCATGATGGGCATTGGGGATGCTGATAGCCGATACCTGCAGTCACTGCAAGATTTTATCAAACGTAAACAAACTACATTATGATTAATAAATGTCACAGAATATGGATCATTTTTCAAAATTTTGACATACGATGAAGGCTAAAAATAGCCAAAAACCATACACAGCTTAATTTGAATAAAGGATCTAAATATATAAGGATATGGTGCCGTACATACGGGACTCCAGTGCTTCGCCCAACCATCCGCTCGGGCGATGGAGAGAGTAGCAAGCATGGCAAGTCACATGACCGTTTTGTTGGGGGGAAAGGGGTCAAGGGAGTCAAGGGAGGCAACTCGTGAGAACTTTTATCAAGGGAACTACAAGGGATTCAAGTGTTCCACTATCATTCACATAGGAGATAAGCATGAGTCAGGATAAGGAAAATTGTTTTCAGCAGCTATTCTTAGAAAAAATAAGTTTTGTCGATTTTACGAGTAAACATGCTATTCTGGATATCTTATTACGCATCCTACTGAACACTCAGTTAGGCCAATGTGCGTTATTTCGACATATGCTATTTGCAATTGTGTAAATTTTAGGGATACAGAGTAACAGCCTAAAAAACAGGTTTTTCTATTTCCGACAGTACTTTAGTGTCCGGAATGTCTTCAGGAACAGTGATTTCGCCAGACGCAGCCAAGATCCTTATCAGGTCATGGAGGAGGGGAACTGGAACTTCTGTGCCATATAGAAGTGGTGAAAGACAATGATTTCTATCATCCATCTCTGAGAGGTGCTACATTTCTTACCATCCTTAGTTGATCAAGGTCTTGGTAAGTTCCGTTCATACAGCCAGATGTGCCATATCGAGTATTTGGATTGATAATCAACCTTATGGGTTTCATCCTATTCTATGTAGCTTTTATGCAGGGATATTTCCAGGAGAAAACACCTAAGTCACATTATCCAGCGATTTTTGAATGATCTTGGAAAAGTCTCAACATGTCATTGTTCCTTAAGAGATTAAACATTGAAACTTATTTTGTTACTTCAATAGTGACAACCTTCAACCTTACACATGTTAAGTCTTGAAAATGTCTGTAGGAAATTCAGACATTACTTTTCAATTCCAATGGCTATTTAAGCAGTCTAGACCAGGAAGGTTAGCAAAACCTTGTACATGTATTTTAAGGAGTATATTCAAGGAATTGTGTGGTTAATATACTACAAAGTATGAGATCACCCTAAAATTTGATAGTCATATATAAACTTAAATGAAGTCATTTATACTCTGAGGTACATGCAACTTTTTGTGTGGTTAATGAGCACTGTAGACGACATGTTATCATATGGTTATATTTGGGATTACACTTTCTTAGTAAAGTACAAATTCTAGTACTTTATTTAATCCCGGATGGGACTCAACTTAAAAAAAAGTACCAGAAATTGTACTTTACTAAGTGTAATCCCAAATATAACATATGTTGCATTTGACCACTTTCTTAATGGCATTGTGTAATCATGTAGTGAAGCAACTGATTCAATATTCTTTGAGTTGGAGTGAAATGTAACATTGTCAAAAACAGCCTAAACAAGGGTGCTGAAACACACCAGCACCATGTTTGATTCAAACACCCAAACATGATTAACACTTTATTGTCTCTTTTGACAAAATCATTGTCATGGATATATATATATACTGAACATTTGCCAAGGACCTCATAAGATGACTGTTTTGGTCCTTGGCATATGTTGGCATATATTTTAACAGACATTAAAAAGTCTGTTTTGAGTGCTAGTAAAATGTTCTTACCTTACTGTTACTTCAATGTTAAGTTTGCTGTAACTTGAGATTCTTTGTCTTCGAGGCTCATTTACAATTCACTTTTCAACTCTGCAGAGCACACAGTTGAACTGTCCAGTCCTTACAAATAACAGTATCAGAATGGGAGTTGGAATCCAGCACAGTGAACTCTCGATGACTATCACATCCGGTATCACTTGGATTCTTCAGTTTCTTCCCCGAAATCATTCCAGTCCTGGGTCCAGATGTTGAAGGAAGCTCCTTGGGAGGGGATGGACTGTGCTCAAGGAACTGACTTTTTGGTAGCTGGAAACATGGCGTAGCACAGGTCATAGGCTGAGCCATCACATAAATTGATGGCAAAAGGAAACTTTACCATTTCAAACACTAATTTACAATTGGGTGGGTTTGTGTAAAGAATTAGGAAATTTCAAAAGATACGTTTAGTCTTTATTGTGCATCATACAGTGATCACTTGCAGGGTCTTGTTTGATCATCTCATTTTCAGGTCTGCATCCCAAATTCATCACTGTTACATGGTCAAGCCAGATGTTTTCAAAACAAGTTCTTACACCAAATTATACATGCAGTGCCTCTAGACAGGCGGCAGATAGATGGGAGACAGAGCAATGGTAGGAATAACCCCTTAATCTTCTCTCTCAAAGGTGCTGCATTTGCTTTTCACTGCATAGACCCAGCCCATATCTGGTGTCAGTCATGATATTGCTGGAAAATTGCTCAAAGCAACATAAGACCATGTCACTCTCGTATGATGTTTTCCATGTTGCATTTGAAAATATTTTCTTTAAGTCTGCAACATTCTAGATCTAGTTGATTTTATTTGAACAGCTAACATGTTGCATGTTTGTTTCTACTGAAAATACGTTTGGATTGCTAATTCAATCGCCTGAAGAAAATGTTCCCGATCAACCCTGACAAATTTCTTACCCAATTTATCTTCTAGATTATTGAAGCCAAGGACAAGCCGAAAGCTTGCAAGTGAACTCAGAATGTTCCCCTCAACTGGACACATCGATTTGTAAAGCCCTCCTTGAGCTGCCTGGTTGGTGGTCAACATGTTTTTTTTCCAAGGAAGATTGACAAAGGTGCAAGCCTAATTAAAAAGATTATAAAACCAATAAATAACCTAGGTAAAGTAAATGATACTGAAAATTGGGCAATGGGTATCTTTTCAATACAATGTTTTACAATTTCAATGTTATTTATAATATATGTAAAATGAAAACTTAAATTCGCCAATGGAACCAAAGGCAGTTCAGCACAGCATGAGATGTCGCTGTTGAGCCTGTGGTCTACCTGAGGCTGCCGTTTACCTCCACATGCACTGAGCGAAATGAAGGAAAAAAACAAATCCCAAGTTGCACAAGGAAACAGACACAGCTGCTGTCTTATCTAAAATAAACATAATACATATACATATATAGAATATTAATTAAGAAGATAATATCAATTTACTGTTTCCATTGTTATTCATCTTTATTTGTATACTTTATCATTTGACAAAATGCCAAAAAGATGTTTAACTGGATTGTATTTGGTGATGGCTGAATACCATATCTAGCTGGCTGCACCATCTTTATTCCGCCTAATCACGATATGGCTGAAATATTGCCGATGTGACTTTAAATCTTAACTCGCTCACTTATTCCGCCTAAAGCCTTTTGAATCAAATTTTATAAAATATATTATATTATATTTTCATTGTTACAATCTCACAAGTCTCATAACATTAAAACATTTGTTAAAACTTGCAACTTTCGTGATTGCATTTCAATTTCATGTCGTAAACATAGAAGATGTAATATTGATATCTTCATGATATCCGGAAGTAGGCCATATTTAAAACTAGCTAAGTCTAGCTATCTGAGATCTTGCAAAGCAAATTACCCATAAACCCTTCATCATGGCCTGTGTTAGATACGTGCACCGCTCCGTAAGTTTTTGACCATTTTCTTTTGCCTTGATAAATTATTCAGTTCTCCCATCAAAGGGTCCATACAGGACCCAGATTGACAGTCAGATTCAGAATCTTTTCCGTCAAGTGATGAATGCTCAGACGAAGCTTACGTTGAGAGCCTCCTGTTAATATACGGGTGGATAAAAGGGTTGTTCCGTCTAAACCGGTAGATAATGAGACTTTGATGATTACATCCCGTCCTCATTAGCCGATGCTCAAGACCCATCAGAATGGTCTCCATCTCTCCCAACAGATTTCACTGTAAACATAAATGTGATATTCCCTACCCTGTCTCCTCCCTGAATTGCGAAGATTGTTTTTAATTTCTCAGAATTGTTGCATTGCTAAGATTTAGTTTCATTCCAGGAACTCTATTGAATCTAACGTTATTGCCCATCTTAATGTATTTTACAACACATTGACAGTTATGGATTGATCTGATTCAACCAAGTCATAGTTGGTAGTGCTATGGTTTTTTGCTTGCAGTTGAGTGCTGGGTGTGTGGGTGGAGCAAAGCTGGCCAAGAAGAGGAACTTAACTGGATGACTTTATAGTCTTCACTGACCCTATCTAGGGTTTTCGTTTGAACTTTGGATTTGTATTACCTTGGACCTTGGATGTCCTCATGTAGATCGTCATTACCATCTGATTAAATGTTTTTCCTTTACTCTGTGTTCTTTTTAATTTCGGCCCTTACGAAGAAGCCTTTATGGGTAATATGCCTCGCCAGATCTCGCATAGCGAGACTCTGCCAGCCTTAAATATGGCCTACTTCTGGACATCATGAAGATATCAATATCACAGGTACTGTGTTTACTAATGAGAGCTTAGCAACAATGTCATCAACAGTTGATGTTGCACTGCAGTCTTTGGAGAGATCCACTCACCTGCCTTCCTCCTTTCTAATCTATACATGTAGCCATCAACACAAATATCTACCACCACGAGAAGTGGGACTGAACTTTGAGTTCATTTGTAGTAACTGGTCATGAGCCATTGTGGAAATAATAGTTTGTTGCCATTTGAAGATATTTATACATTGACGATGTTTGTGTAATATCTGTCAATTTGAGTAAGCAAATTAATCACATTCAAAAGTGAACTCCGATAATTCAAGGAACATAACTCAGTAAATTCGAACTCGGTCAATTACAAATTTATTGAGCAAAGTAAAGCGATCACTCGCATTCAATCAAGGAAAATATTATTTCCAGTGACCATAACTCAATTACTCATACTCAAACTCGGCTCACAGAAAAATCAATCTTCAGTTGGCATCTTCTCAGTTTGCCTACATCCCAATCCGCCTACAGTCTTAAAACATTTCATGGTCTGTTGACTGTTGATTACGTAATGGTGAACTTGTGGCACCCCAATGATCTAGAAGTGGAATATTCTAGCTGAAGGACAAACAGAATTTATTTCTGTTATTTTCTGTTATATATTTATTCTGTTATTTGTCATTTTCCGATCACATCATATCACATGATATCACATTAGTGTTAAGGAAGTTAACTTGTGCAGATGTCCATTTAGGAGATAAACATACCGTGTTGGAAAATTAAAGGTTTATAACGAAATTATAATGGCTCTAAATTAGAATTAAAAACAAACAGGTAGCGACAGGTTTTAAATAAATTTAGAGCTATTATTTTATCTCGACTCCACCATAGATGAAAAAAAAATACATCCTGTATTGGAAAATCAGATGTATATAACGTGATTATATACCTCTGAATAACTTTGATTAACCAATCACAATCCAGTAATCAATCTCCACCAGCCGCATTGAGGACCTGAAGGGTGATCGTCGTAACAAATGTATTATGTTACCTACCAATACATAAAAATACAACAATAGTTTGTGATGTGCTTTCTTTGAATACAAATGTCAGTTGAAACATTTGGTAAATAAAATTTAAGGTGTAATGATTTTTGTTCAATTTCCTTTATATGTTTAGATCCTTTACTCAGGTGTCAACTTTCTTTTGTATGTCAGCTTATTTGGTAGCAAACATGAACAAGGTTTTTACCATGAAGAAATTTTCTCATCAGTCATTTCATGTACATATGGAAAGGACAAACTACTACCAAAATTAACCTCCAATGAAAGCCATGGGTATGTCTCATGGGAAGTCCTATTGCTTGAAGCTTAGGCAGCAACTAAAAGACATCAGTCTAGTTGGACAAACACGCTTGTCAGACATTTGACCGTCCCATCAGGAAACCAGTCCCTCCTGACACTCCACATGCGTAATAGGTTCCCCATTGACGGTCTGGGACATCATCAGGCCAACATCAGTGATGAAACCCGGGGCGGTGGGGTAGCCTAATGGTTAAAGCGTTGGCTCGTCACGCCGAAGACCCGGGTTCGAATCCCCACATGGGCACAATGTGTGAAGCCCATTTCTGGTGTCCCCCGCCGTGATGTTGCTGGAATATTGCTAAAAGCGGCGTAAAACCAAACTCAGTCAGTCAGTGATGAAACCCTTTCTTTCTGTGTGAATCGGAGCATTTTCTGTGCATGGTTACAGCAACATCGTTGAGCGAGAATGTCATTGGCAACGATATCAGTGCTGAGGAATGTTCAGCGTTGTCGGAGAAAAGGGGTATTGCCTTTTCTTACCTAAAATATGAATACAATTGCTCCGTGTGTAAAAACAAAATTCCTGTCGTAAATGTTTGTTGACAATTATCTTGTTTGTTCTCTTTCAAAATCGTATTTCTATTCGTGCGTCTAATCCTAATCGTGTATATTCCTTCAAATAATGGACTCAGTTGGACCCCCACTGTTGCCAGGTATGGTACTGACCATAAGGGTTGCTTGTTGGAACTTGTGCCGAAGGTGTGCGATTCGAATCCGAAGGTCTTCACATAAGGGATGGTCTAACTTGTTTGTTTTGCTGAAGACATCACCATAAGGGCCAAATGGCGTAATGCCACGCCTCGAATCGGACTGAAGCGTACGTGTCATTTTAGTGTGAGGTGTATCGTGTCAAATGTTTTCCAGGTGTGCAAACCACAACCCCACCCACCCACCCACCCCTTTGTCCTGAAAGTTGATTGAATGACAATTGAAACTCTCGCGAAAACGTGTGAAAATGATCCTGCCGTTAGTATTCATTTAATAATTGTTTGTAGGATGTGTTTTGACCCTTCGGGCTTACCATACATTTCTTTAAAGATATGCACAGGCTTCTATCAAAGGTGACATCACGTGTACCCAACATGAAGTAAATTTCAAGTTTCAGTAAACTGTTCTACCAGCTCGATAACTTGGAATGTCAATTGATTTCGTTAAGTATATATGGGGCATCTTCAACTGACAACTGTGCAAAGATACGTATTTAAAGACTTAGTTCAAGCCGACCACTCATAGGGAGTGGTATTAACCTTCCCTGAATTAAACTTCATCCTTTCGTGTAGAGTGGCGTTTTTAAAATTGGCTTCCATAGTCGTCTGTCCAACACAACAGTCCAAAATTGCATAACATCAGCTGGGTAATGACTATCAGTCGTCCGTTGTTCCCAGAGATTTCTTTTGTACATGACTAATGGCCGCTCTCGTGTTTGTTGCCGAAGAATCGCTCCATATGCTCCTTAGAATATCTTGGAGCAAGTAGCGTTTGGTGGGGGTTCACTGTGGGTGTGGTTCTCACATGACTGTAAATGTGACCTTGTAAAGATCAGGGAAATGTTAATGGACAATGGTACCATCCTCTGAACACACGGCCAGTCTTCATGGACAACAATGCTAGGCCACAAGCACCTGCCGTTGGTGATTACTTACATCAAGAGGCAAGTAGCTGCTCTACCATGGCGCGCATACAGCCATTGATATTCATTTCAAAATTATTGTTTGTAGGATTAGGTTTCACTGTTCCGGCACACCATACATTGGTTTTAAGATCTACTTGGGCTAAAATAAAAGGCGATCATCACCTGCAATAAATTAAAATCGGCTGGGTAAAGAGCCACACGACCTGTCAGACGCCCGTTGGTGCCTGACTAATGGCAGCACTAGTGTTTGGCTCCGAAGAATCGCTGCGTATGCACAGCGGAATATCTTGGAGCAAGTACCGTTTGGCAGGGGTTCACTGGTTCTCACATGACTGTTTACAAAAGCGACCTTGTGACGATCAGGCAAAATCTGAATGGACAACGGTACCATCCTCGACGACCATCTGAAGACAAGGATAGTCTTCATGGACGACAATGCATGCATGGCCACATGATTTCTTACATCAATAGGCGGTAGCAACTCTACCTTGGCCCGCCAGGAGTCTAGATTTAAATCACATAGAGCAGGTCTGTAGGACATAATGTGTTGCAGAATGAGTCGAGGAGATCCTCCAGTACAAATTCATATGTAAAAACATTACCGCAATACCTCTGTCTTATACAGTAAAGGAAGGGTTGAGATATGCTGCTGCAATTAGTGGAGGTTACACCAGATATTGACATTGTGCTCGGTTATTTGATACTTGTGTGATTACAAGAATCTTACACTGACTGCGCTCATTAACAATCCCATCATCATACGCCCATACAGTCAGTTTGGGTTCAAATGAGAACGATCTGACACTTCATGATCAATCACAGAAAAAGTTGTTCAAGAAACTATCATGTAACATTGTTCTATTTTCACTCTTCACACCAAGGGGTGACCAACGGCTGGTGGAACAGCGCCGGCTGTACCCTGACTAGTAGGGGGCTGTGCGGAGTTGCACCTGGGCTTCATACACTTTCAGGTTACAATGTGTGACCCAGTTCACAGCGCATGTAATACCCCATCAACACTGGTAGTTGTCCACAAATGCTGATGAGCACTAGCTTGCCTTGTGAGTTTACAGGTTGTCAATATACTGTCTTGATGACAGGGGGTGAAACAAAACATTACCTCTCTCAATGTCACTATGGCCCCTGAAAATCCGGGTTAGAATTAGTCTTCAGTTACCCATGCTTGTCATAAGAGGCGACAAACGGGTGGTCAGGCTTCACAGGAACCCGTTATCGGCATGTAGGTTAAACATAGACCATAGATCTACACGCACGTCACATATATAAATACTCTAGAGTAGAGTATTTATATATGTGACGTGCATGTAGATCTATGGTCTATGTTTAACCTACATGCCGATAACGGGTTCCTGTGTCAGGCTTGCTGACTTGGTTGACTCATGTCATCGTTTCCCAATTGCATTAATATGGATGCTCATGTTGATCACTGGACCACAGTTGATTATTTACAGACCACCGCCATATAGCTGGAATATTGCTAAGTGCAGTGTTAAACAACCAACCAACCAACCATCCCCTATCCTCATTACATTCTGTAGCTCACCCCGGCAGACTGCAACTACTGACTACAGTGGGAGAGTGACTTGTATCACTAAGATGGTGCTTCAGTTCTTTCTTGATGCATCAGCTGGATGTGGGACTCAGTGAGTAGTCTGGATTATGGACAAAACCGGATTACACAGAGTCTGGATTTGACAGATTCCACTGAAATACAAACACACAGGACTCAAATAAAAATAAACTTTATTCAAACATATTATCAGAGACAAACATACAGCATAATATAGCCCATGTTTGTCTGATGCTTGTAGAGGTGGCATGAGATTCACACTGTCATGTATTCATAACGGAGGATATTATAAAGTTGTAATGTTGTACAAAACATTAAGGATAGAACTTGGCATACAATTGATATCACAGAATACAATTAGTAAATCTTGCCTTGCCAATACTGAGTTAAATGTAGGTGCTCTTGTTCTCATGTGTCTATTTGACTGGACGGAGGCTCATTGCAATACAATTGAACCTCTGAGTAAATAGTCATGCAGAACATGGGTACTATTACACCTTCATATGCATGGCAAGTTAACTGTACCTTCTTCAGACGGTGAAGCCTAACGTCCACAGTGACTCTTGTCGATGTTTGCCACTTTGTTGAAAACCGCTGGTGTGGTACCGATCACATTCCAAAATGAGATTCTTACACCACCATTCTGGCAACTAAGGCACACAGTTTTGTAAAGCAACACTTCTGTGGAAGTCATGGACACCGGTATGATGCCGACAAAGCCAGGGTCATGGAACACAGCCATCAAGGCAGCCAATGACGCCGACATGCATGACAAACAACTAAGGAGCCTTCAAGGAGGAACTTCACTTGAAGTAATAAAAGTTCAGAGTTATCAAGAATTGTAAATTTCATTATATAGACTTGCTATCATCATTTAGTATGGTTTGATGTTGTCTAAATGCGTTACCTTACGAGGGACTGATAAAACCCCGTATTTCCCTCGACACGATGTGATAACTTATAATATTCCACTAGAGGTATAAACTCCATATCAGCTTGCTAAAGGTTGTGATTGGTGCAACCAAACTCCACAATACAATATGTGCCTTTATACACAGAGGTGAAAACTTCAATAAACACATCCATTCTAGAAACCTGATTGTCAGTTCTTTTGTTCCACACAAAGAATTTCTCACCGAACCAGTGAAAGTCATAAATTGTGTTAAAACTGACATAACTTTATAAAAGACATAACAAATTGTTTCCATTTATACAACACCTAAAATATACATTACACAATATTATGTCTATTTTTTACACATATCCTGCACTAAATATTGCAGATTACCCTTACTGTGAAGTTCTAATTGGTCAGCAATGAGGTTCTGCGAGTATCTTCAGTAACAAGCGAGGTAGCCATGAATTGGTGATAGCCAGATGCTGTCAGAGGTGTTGGATGGACCAGAGGTGTTGGATGAACCAGCCACGATTAATGGTATCATTGGTTGTCTGGCAATGGGGTCATGATCCAGTCTTGCTGGTTCCTCTAGTAAGGTGTCGGAATGAGTATTTATTTATTTGGTCACCATGGTTAACATCATGCCACATGTGAGGTCGGAGTGAACACTGCAGACAGCTCCTCCTTCGAGTGGCCGTCAGGAAGAGGGACGTCGATGACAACAGCAGGGTTGTTGGGCTTGTAACGCAACGTACACATTGAGGCGTTGATGAACGTTGTTGTCCCATCGGTACTCATTCCATAACCTGGAGACAGAGAGTATTACTGAAAAAATGTCTGCTTACTTTCATTGCAAGTATGAGGTGAGGTGAGGTGAAATTGGGTTTTACGTCGTGCTTGAGAATATTTTGCTCATATGACGACGTGCATGCGTGTGTATGTGTATGTGCGGCTGCTGGTACTAGCCCAGACTTAAGCTGGTTTTATAGTGCTAGCCCACTGAGATACCATGCCGCAGTGAAGCATGAATACCCCACTCAGACACATTATACTGACTCCGAGCCGACCAGTCCTTGTTGTACCCATTAATGCTGAGTGCCAGGCAGGGACCAACAAGTACCATATTTTAACCTCTTTTGGTATGTTACGGTTAGGGATTGAACCCACGACCTTCCGCTCTCTGGGCGGACGCTCTAACCACGACACCATGCAGGCGGTCTATTGCAAGTATGAAACCTTTTCTAAGTTACTTATTTTTCAATACCTTTCACCCAAAATAATAAGAGGGATTGTGTGCTTCCTATTTCACAAGATGCGCTTTTCATATAACCTTTTCGTACTTTCCTACAGAGGCATTTTGGGATTACTAACCCTGATAACAGTTTCATATGAAAGCCTAATAAGATCAAACTAAATTACTTACTTGTTTCATGAAACCCACCAATTGATTGCTTTCCACACAAGAAATTGCATTGATGTTTATATATTGCAAGAAAGGGAGGCTACTTTTGATAATTACATAATTGCAGATGAAATGAAAGCATTCAAGCCAATGGCAAACTCACTACCAGGAGCTGATCAAATTGTGTTTCTCGAGCCTGCTGCCAAAAAAATACATCAATAATGGTGGTAGACAGGGTAAACAGAACAAAAATAAAGTTTTCCATTTGTATACATGTTGAAAAGTTACTTTCATGATTTCCTTTTGCATGACAAGTTTCTTCTGTGTACCAGGTGTGAAGGGTCCTTCAACCATGTCAACCTTGTCAATAAGTATCAGTGTTATGGCTGACGGCCTGTAGGTCTGTGCCCCTGACAAAACCACTATCAGGACAGTTCAGATAGAAACAGATTGTACCTTCATGAATGTGGCCATACAGATGATACTTGTGCCCCTGACAAAACCACTATCAGGACAGTTCAGATAGAAACAGATTGTACCTTCATGAATGTGGCCATACAGATGATACTTGTGCCCCTGACAAACCCACTATCAGGACAGTTCAGATAGAAACAGATTGTACCTTCATGAATGTGGCCATACAGATGATACTTGTGCCCCTGACAAACCCACTATCAGGACAGTTCAGATAGAAACAGATTGTACCTTCATGAATGTGGCCATACAGATGATACTTGTGCCCCTGACAAACCCACTATCAGGACAGTTCAGATAGAAACAGATTGTACCTTCATGAATGTGGCCATACAGATGATACTTGTGCCCCTGACAAACCCACTATCAGGATAGTTCAGATAGAAACAGATTGTACCTTCATGAATGTGGCCATACAGATGATACTTGGGTTTCACTCGCTGTTGGATGGTGTTCAACAACTCCAAGCATCCCGCTCTCTGCTGGGTGAAACAAAGGTCACCCCGACCTACAGAAAATAGAATTGAGTATGTAGTAATCAGGATAAGGGTACCTGAGTAATCGCTCATACAAAGAGGCGTACAAACAAGTGTTTGCCACTAACACGGTAATGTCCCCCGTCGCCGAAGAAGAATGAAATATAACATATTTACTGGCTGTTAACTTTTGGTCACATAGAACCTTTTGTGAGTTAGTTTTTAGCCATATTCACTATTTAGAATCTTCTAACTCTGAAGATTTTCTACCCGGATATCCCACCCACTATTACCCTACATTACCCTGAGACCCGTTATGTTAATTCCTGACATAAAATTTGAAAGAAATGGCAATATATTCTTCAGCTTAGAGGCTAAAATTGGGTGCAACGTTTTATGAGATTTCACGTTGACATAAGTTTGAAAAGTGGTCAAAGTGTCATGGTCAAATACGGTCACGGTCACCAAATCAACTGCTGTCTGTGTAATCCCCAATGTAGGCTGTCACCAAATTTGAACACATTGGGTACAACAGTTCATGAGATATTGCGTTAAAAAGAATCAGGGTCGATGTATGTATGGACGCTGCTGAACACATAGTCCCCCGTTCGGCGCTGAGGCGGGTACAATGAGCAATCTGGGGTACCTGAGTTGTTTGGTTGGTTTGTTGTTTAACATCTTACTCAGCAATATTCCAGCTATAACGAGGCATCCTGTAATTAATTGAGTTTGGACCAGACAATCAAGTGATCAACGATATGAATATCGACTTACACAATTGGGATACGATGCCATGTGTCAACCAAGTCAGCGAGTCTGACCACCTGATCCCATTTTCCTCTTAGGGGCGGTGGGGTAGCCTAGCGGTTAAAGCGTTAGCCTCTTATGACAAGCATGGGTTGAACAATCCTAAGCCGAATCTTCACGGGTCGTGTACATGAGTTATCATGATACGTTCAAAGATGGGTGCCTAAGTAATCAGGGTACATACCTAGAGGGGGGCCGTGTGTGATGAGGATGTCTGTGTCCGAGGGGATCAAGTTCCACTTGTCAAGGATTGGTTGCCCCCGAGCAATGTTAAATCCCATGAAACAAAACTCAGGAACCCTGTGAACATGGCATACATTTCTAATATACATTATTGAAGCATAGGATTAAATATTGCTTCTGTCCATAAAATAACTTATATGTGCTTACTTCCTGTAAATGGTAGAGCTTATATAAAGATCTTCACAAACATCAAGAGTGCATGTAGGTCTAGTTACCTCATTCAAAGGCCCAACACACATTTGTCTGTATGGAAAGTTCAGTAAAGTAAACACAAGCAGACAGTGTGAGATTTGCTGATGTTGTGTTGAGAGGCTTTGAAATAGTTCTGTGTAGACAGACGCAGACTCACGACATTTGCTTACATTAATAATTTGAAGGTGAGCTGATTTTTCACCTACCATGGAGCTCCGTATATCTTGATTCCACAAATGTCTACACTGCTGTCTTCTAGGTAAACACAATTTGTCAGTAGCTCCTTAGACGAATCCACTTTGTGGTCCTCGTTATATTTCTCAAATTTTGAGTTGGTAATGTTGAACTTTTCAAGGAGATCATCCCTTCTATTCTGGACTGAGTTTTCATCTAGGGTCATGTCATGGTTTCCTGCTATAACCACTTTCACCTTATGCGGTAGAGTTCCTGTAACCAAGATTATCATACATTGAAAACTTCAATATCAATTTTTTATTCTTGTAGTAAAAACAGAATGAAAAATGAAATTGCTTCGTAAGCATTTAACAAATTTAATATGCAAAGTTTTCATTCATTTCATCTAAACAGCATTACAATCAGAAGACTAAAATGAGTTTTTTGTGGCAGTGTGTTGAGATACTTGTCACTAAAACAGTAAATCATTAAATAGCTAAACAACAGCATCAAAATACAATCTTGCAACAATTATAACATGTTACTACGTTTTTGATGACTAGTGAGAGAGAGCAATTTATTTGCACATAAGGCCATACGACCTACAGTACAAAATAGTACATAATATAATTGAGTTACCAAATGTGTGCATAATATGGATCGAAAAAACTATTTTGCTGACGATGTTTTGCAGAATAAACACATTTCAAATACTTCACCAAGTTAATAATGATGTTAATATCTGAGGATGTACAGAGACTTTAAATGGAGACATATTACCCACTTGATGTCTTTGCAATAAGATGTTGGCGAAGACAATCATAGAAGTTACAGTTGTATATAACATGAACTTCATCTTCAACAGCTTTACAATGCTTACATAATGTAACATTATCATGGATAGTAGCGAGACCATTTCTGATTAACTGAATACCGAGTATATTACATCCTGATCTAAACATTGTAAAAATATGTTTATTATCATTACTAATATTAGACGGGACATATTTTTCACAATTCAGCAACAATTTATGAGAATAATAGAAACACAGTGATTCGCAGTCATGAAGAGATGAATGCCAATCTTGGTGGAGACAATCATTAATTCTTTCAATAAATTTACATACAAATATCTTTGGATCACCAACAAATTGTGTGTTCCATACAATTCCAAAACCATGCCTAAACAACAAATGCTTTACATAACTTGCCCATGTTGGGCGTTTTATAGATTCGATTGACAATAAAACTTGATAACATTGATAAGGGTATCTATCTGGGTGCATGTGTAATAATCTTATGACTGATGACTAGTGAGACAAATGAATGTAATATTAAATATTCAATGTTTCTATAAGGTAAAGTTGGCTTTAGCGTCATGCCATGACCTGTCAGTGGAATCCGCACATGCATCAACATAAAACTTGGGAAAGCCCAAAGTAACTTGGGTCACGTGTATGTCACACATAGGTAGTGTACTGGCAGTCAATAACCACTTTATCTTGGATTTAACCATTGACTGGACCACTGGGATTCTGAAAAATTGTGAAAACACAACCTCAACCAGAGATAAGGAGGGATGTGTGTTTGTGCTTCAGTCCATCTCCGAACACATGAAATGATATTCAAACCTGTACAAGGACATTGTTGTGTTTAATTATCTTATACTTATATACCTAGAACACAGATTTGATTGTTGTAAACATTTTGCCAAACATAACAAAGCCAAATACAAGTTTTCATGAATGTTTCAGTGTATGTTGGTCATAAAACTAAATGGAGTTGTCAGACTCAGTGACCTGGTTGAATCCCTGTCTTATCAGCCCAAGAGTGTGGATCAGTGCTCATATTATCCATCACAGGATTGTCTGCACCAAACACAAGTTTTAACAGGCCACTGTCACAAAACTGGAATATTGTTGAGTGTTGCATAAAAGAAGAAACACAAAACGAACCTAAACCAACAAGATCGCCATTTGTCATAAGGTACAAAATGCCTACCCAGGAAGTGATTGAACTTGTCAATCTCAGCGGGCGTCCCAATCTTTGTGAAGTCCCCTGCATGTAGCAGAACATCTCCCTGTGGTATAATGTCTGGGACATGCTCCACTGTGTTGTGGGTGTCCGAGATGCACACAAACCTCACACAGTCTGTCGGCACTGGGCTGTTGGGGTCGAGGGGTGTCACTTTCTCCACCTTCTGTTTCCCTTTCAGCTTCTTCCAGGCCAAAATAGGTTTGTGGGACAACTTCGGCTGCACTGTAATGTGGTGGCCGTCTGCTGCCGAATGATGGGCTCCCATTTCATCTGTAGAGAATCGAGCACAAAGATTAGACAAGTTGACAAATCAGGAGCAGTATTGAAAATTGAGGTCTTAATTTCCATATGGTTTGTTATAATGGATTTTAAGGGACTCACTAAACCTTGATTTTTTAACATTTGGAGTACGATAAGGTTTCAAAGCTGACTTTCATGTATAGTTCCCAACATTCATTTGTATGTGCTGCATGCAAGTATATTAGTACCAGAGTCAAAGACTGATGTTTAGGAACAGAATATGCTAATGATGCTCTTGGCAATAATCCAGCTATACAATAGTGTTGGAGACCAGAAGTGAGTTTCACACATTGCACCTGTACGGAAAATCAATGTATGGTATGACGTGTGAATGTCTACCTCACGGCCTCCACATTGATCAGGCTGATAAAACGTCTGGGTCAAGTATTTAGTGGTCGAAAGAATTGGTCTAGTTTCAGTTATATTTATGAGGCTCAAACTGAAAAATGGATTGCTATGTTTGAGCTTTTAAAACAATATTCTTTAACTTCACATTTGAAGGTAACTCACTTCTAAATTAAATAAACAATGATATATCATTATACCTCAGACTACAAGAATCTGCTGATTATCTGTATGTTTGTGGACATATTGCATAATTCATTGTTGCTGTTCCGACATATTTCATAGTCATACAGGCGACAGAGTGAGAGGATATTTACGTTAGTAGTAGGCTTCTTAATGTCAATCATTTTCTGAGTGAAGGATCATTTGTGAAAGAACTTATGTGTTGACATTAAAGGATAGCAAAACAAAACTTCTAATATATCTTTTGACCTAAAACCTCAGAAGACAGAAAATATTTCCATCAGCCCCTATGTGAGAATTCCGCAACAGTCATGCGGTCATACTAATAGTGAATAATAAAGTACAATGGTCTACAATGATAAACACTGTATTATTCATTGCCAGTTTGAACAGAGTGATTATGGGATCTAATGTCATATAAAATGTCATCCACTGAAAGAAATTACGAGAATGACGTCATGTGGTCAATTTAGACATAACAACGGATGATGTCATATAATTTCATCCACAATGTTCCAGCATTAATTGTGACCTCAAGGCTCAAGGCTAGATATAACATTTTATTACACAGGATCATACTACATTAATGGGTAATAAACAACGAGCAATCGTTGTCAGTCAACAAATTTCACATAATGATAATTACATGAGACCATATAGTCCCTGATGAAAGTCATTCATTACCTGTGTCCATGGTGTCTGCCTTAATTGTCACTCCAAATTATGGCCAAGTGCCTCATCAGATGTGTAGATAGAAATCCGTAAACTGTTTCGCAGAGCTGTGTCGACTTGATTCTGTTTTGTTGTTCTCGATAAATGTAAGTTCTGCCCATGTTGTCATACGACATATATATCCCACACGCGATACTAAATATAGCATTGTACGAATGAGGAACTACAGTACGCTTGATTGTCAACTGCAAGTCGTCGTTCCACCTGGCATTGTATCAGATACAAAACAAAGTACTGTAAAGGTCTACTCGTGCCTCATTCCTGGCGAATATGACTTACTTATACAAGACTGGACAGCTAGGCTGTCAGGCAAACATGTTCTAGTTTGTTGTTGTAGTGGTAATTATTACAGGGGAGATAACTCTGTATTCTCGACAATGAGATTTTACGTGCGCTTTCCGATAATGAGCACGGGAAAGGAATGGAAGGAGCTTAGTGACAGGTCTAAACTGGTTGGCCTTCCAAACAGCACTTGCGCTCCTCGATGTGAATATATATATATTATTTCACGAATAATTTGCTGAATAGCTAATTAAGTATCAAAATTAATTCTGTTTCACTAATTTAACGAACGGCGGAGTAATTTTGTAATTACCGTTAAAATATGGCGATAACTGTTCAGTAAAAACAATGATACTGGCATTCACCTACACAGCCTGTGCAGTGATCAAGCTTCCAAACTGGTCAAGGCCGGTTGTCTGGGGTGAAAGATTGATCTTCATACAAAACGTTGGTCTTGACGTATTGTGCGATAGTGTGCGAAAAAGCAGCCAATAATTTCTTCACTAACCTGGATTAATATGTGTCGTTCCAGATTGCTCAACTCGCAGTGTAGCGAGTTGAATGTAACGTCGCATCGACGTCATTTCATTCACCATAATATACATAATGACTATTCCCAGTGTAAATACAGTAACTTGGACACCATAATCCACCAAATATCGTTTTGCAAGATGCGTGGTCCACGTAATGAGAGGTCATTGATCTTCGAAATTAGTTTATCATGTTTGTTATCATGATCGATATAGTCTGAATTTAGCAGAGATTTCTTCAAGATATGTAAGGAAACAAATTTGGACTTTGATGACACTTGGAAAAAAAGTATCGCAACACCCCATAGTTTTCTTAGTATCATCATCATCATCATAGCACAGTTGCAATGCTCTGGTATCCATGCAGTCCATGCTCAAAGCGCATAAATAGAATGTAACAAATTACACAATGATATTTGAAAAGGATATCATCAACAAATGTGATTTTAACTGGGATTTGAAAGTGACAAAGTCAGTACAGTCCCTGAGATTCTGTGGAAGTTTGTTCCAGGCCCATGGGCGGATCCAGATTTTTTTTTATTTTAATTTATTTATTTTATTTTATTTATTTTTTATTTATTTTTTTTGGGGGGGTGTCAGGGGTTCGAACCCTGTGAGCGAGCCTGTTGTTCGAACCCCCTGAACACCCCACCCCATTGGCTCTGTCAAAGCAAAGAAAATATTCAATAGGGTCCTAAGTCAAGGGGTGTGTGTGTTCCGACCCCACCCACCCCCCTCTGGATCCGCCAATGAGGCCACTGGTGCTGCATAGGCAAAGGATCTGTTTCCATACTGCACTGTTCTTGTTTTAGGGACAAGAAGCAGATTTTAATCTTACCATTAACAATAGCAAAGGAATATATTCAAACCTCAATTAAACTTACTGTCTGGATAAACTTACCCTCAAGGAATAATATAACGGCAAACCTAAATGAAACAAGAACGAAAACTGTAGTTTATTCAGAGCAGCAAACACGACAAGAAATTGATTCATTTTGTAGCGCTGATATCGATGGCTGTATGATGTTAACAAGCCGGATCAGTTTCAAGATTCTGGCAGACAGTCATCGAGTAATTACATAAGTGTCAATTACCCAGCACACTTAGAATCAATAACCAAGCACAATCAATGGGAATATCTGGTGTAACCTCCGCCAACTGCAATAACACCCATTTCCTCATTGACTGTATCAGACCAGGGCTAATCTACGTTATATAGTCTCCCTGATCAGACGTTGCGTTCAATTTTTATGGGCGGGGCTTTTTCCTTCGATGGGTATGAATGGAGGTTCTCTCCTTGACGCATTCTGCAACCCACAATGTCCTAGATATGCGCAGTGGGATTTAGGCCTTGGGTTCAGAGGATGGTCATCGAGGATGGTACCGTTGTCTATTCAGATGTTGTCTGATCTCACAAGGTCGCGTTTATAAACAGTCATCTGAGAACCAGCCCGGCTAATCTGTCATACAGACCCTGCATGAAACAAATATATCCAATAAAGCCCATTCAAGTCTGGAAAATGTGGCAAGTCTATATTTCCACAGTTTCAGTAAATGAAGAAAGTCTCAGGGCTCCTTTTCATTATGCATGTATATTATCCTTTTTACGATGAACTGTTTTTCTGTAAAATATGTTCATTTCAGAGACTATAGTTATAGTCTACGGCCCGGCCTACATCAGTATCAAACGATTCTTGCTCCAAGATATTCCGCTGTGCATACGCAGTTATTCTTCAGCACCAACACGAGTGCGACCATTAGTCATGAACAAGAAATCTCTGGGAATAACAACGGACGTCTGACAAGTCACCTGTCATTATTAAAGCTCCTTCCAACATTCATTTCAACCCGTGTGCGAAATACCCGTTACATCGGAAAGCGCACGTAAAACCTCCAAATGACAACATTTCCTTTCAAAAGTTAGAAGAGCAACAACAACAAACTAGAACATGTTTGCCTGGACAGCCTAGCTGTCCAGTCTTGTGTAACTAAGTCATATTCGCCAGGAATGAGGCACGAGTGGACATTTACAGTACTTTGTTTTGTATCTGATGCAATGCCAGGTGGAATGACGACTTGCCGTTGACAATAAAGCGTACTGTAGTTCCTCATTCGTACAATGCTATAAATAGCATCGCCTTTGGGATATATATGTCGTATGACAACATGGGCAGAACTTACATTTATCGAGAACAACAAAACAGAATCAAGTCGACACAGCTCTGCGAAACAGTTCACGGATTTCTATCTACACGTCTGATGAGGCTCTTGGCCATAACTCGGAGTGACAAGGCATAAGCAGACATCATGGCTACAGGTAATGAATGACTTTCATCAGAGATAATATAATATATGGTCTCTCCTTTCATTTATGTAATTATCATTATGTGACCAAGTGGGGTTTGTCTACCAACATATCACACAAGAGAGTATCCGAGTTCATTTTGTATTCCGTAACTTTCTGTGTGATGAAGCACATGGGGCAGCCTCTCAGTTTAGCCTCTCTATCTCTGCTCTCACACCCACACTGTCTTTGTCTTAAACTCTCACGCTGGCTCCCTCTCTCTTATCAGTAGATCTTTCACTCTGGACCAATGCTGGGGTGACCCTTGTCCTGAGGTGCCTTAAACTAACCCCAGAATACAAGTATTTATAGCTTTATCCCCAAACACTACCCCATGTCTTAAAGGAATCTCCCCATTACCTTAAGTATTTAGGGAAAGATAAACCTTAAACACCCTGTCACAATTATGTGAAATTTGTCGACTGACAACGATTGTTTGTTATTTATTACCCATAATGGTAGAATGATCCTGTGTAACAAAATGTTATACTCCTATACTTGTGCATATTAGAGAATCACACTGCTGATTTTTCAAATGAAGCCTTGAGGTCACATTATATGCTAATCATTGTGGATGAAATGATATGACATCATCCAATTGTTATATCTAAACTGACCACATGACGTCATCGTAATTTCTTTCTGGGGATATGGAGGATACTAAATGACCTTCCGTGTAATAACAATTTTATTAAACAAGTTAATCATTTGGTATCAAACGAGTGAAAGTAAAAGTATAGATCAAAAAGATAGGTTCCGAGGGTTTAGGTCAAAAGATATATTAGAAGTTTTGTTTCCTTTAATGTCAACACAGTAGTTGACAACTGATCCTTCACTAGGAAGCCTACTACATCAAAGAAATGAGGACGTGAATGTTCTGTCATGTTATACTCTCTCCTGTAAGACTACGAATTATATAGGAAAAGCATCAATGAATTATGCAATATGTCCACAAACATACAGATAATCAGCAGATTCTTGTAGTTATCATATACATGATATATCATTGTTTATTTAATGTTGAGGTGAGTTACTTTCAAATTTGAAGTTAAAGAATAGTGTTTTGATAACTCAAATATAACAATCCATTTTGCAGTTTGAGGCTCATAAATATAACTGAAATTAGACCAACTGTTTCCACCACTAAATACTTGACCCAGATGTTTTATCAGCCTGATCAATGTGGAGGCTGTGAGGTAGACATTCACACATCATACCATAGATTGATTTTCCATACAGGTGTAATGTGTGAAACTCACTTCTGGTCTCCAACACTATTGTATAGCTGGATTATTGCCAAGAGCATCATTAGCATATTCTGTCCAGGGCTCAACATCAGTCTTTAACTCTGGTACTAACATACATGCATGCAACATATACAAATGAATGTTGGGAATTATATATAAAAAGTCAGCTTTGAAACCTTATCGTACTCCAAATGTTAAAAAATCAAGTTTTAGTGAGTCCCTTAAAATCCATTATAACAAACCACATGGAAATTAAGACCTCAATTTTCAATACTGCTCCTGATTTGTCAACTTGTCTAATCTTTGTGCTCGATTCTCTACAGATGAAATGGGAGCCCATCATTCGGCAGCAGACGGCCGCCACATTACAGTGCAGCCGAACTTGTCCGACAACCCTATTTTGGCCTGGGAAAGGCTGAGAGTGAAGCAAAGAGGTGGAGAAAGTGACACCCCTCGACCCCAGCAGCCCAGTGCCGACAGACTGTGTGAGGTTTGTGTGCATCTCAGACACCCACAACACAGTGGAGCATGTCCCAGACATTATACCACAGGGAGATGTTCTGTTACATGCAGGGGACTTCACAAAGATTGGGACGCCCGCTGAGATTGACAAGTTCAATCACTTCCTGGGTAGGCATTTTGTACCTTATGACAAATGGAGATCTTGTTGGTTTAGGTTCGTTTTGTGTTTCTTCTTTTATGCAACACTCAGCAATATTCCAGTTTTGTGACAGTGGCCTGTTAAAACTTGTGTTTGGTGCAGACAATCCTGTGATGGATAATATGAGCACTGATCCACACTCTTGGGCTGATAAGACAGGGATTCAGCCAGGTCACTGAGTCTGACAACTCCATTTAGTTTTATGATTAAATGGACAAATCAAGTATAAGATAATTAAACACAACAATGTCCTTGTACAGGTTTGAATCTCATTTCATGTGTTTGGAGATGGACTGAAGCACAAACACACATCCCTCCTTATCTCGGGTTGAGGTTGTGTTTTCACAATGTTTCAGAATCGTTTGCTAGTTACCCATTCTAACCTTTAGTCTACTGGGGATTTCATGTAGGTGGGACAGAGGTGTCCCAGTGGTCCAATAACTGGTTAAATCCAAGATAAACTGGTTATTGACTGCCACTACACTACCTATGTGTGACACACATGTGACCCAAGTTACTTTGGACTTCCCTGAGTTGTATGTTGATGCATGTGCCCATTCCACTGACAGGTCATGGCATGACGCTAAAGCCATTGCTTTCCCTTCAAGAAATACTGAATATTAAATATTACATTCATTTGTCTCATTGGTCATCAGAAAGGTAGTTTCATGTTATTGTTGTTGCAAGATTGTATTTTAATGCTGTTGTTTAGTTATTTAAAGATTTACTGTTTTAGTGACATGTATCTCAACACACTGCCACAAAAAACTCGTTTCAGTCTTCTTATTGTAATGCTGTTTATGAAGCAATTTGTTTTTTGTATTCTGTTATTGAGCTTTTCAATGTATGATAATCTTGGTTACAGGAACTCTACCACATAAGGTGAAAGTGGTTATAGCAGGAAACCATGACATGACCCTAGATGAAAACTCAGTCCAGAATAGAAGGGATGATCTCTGCGGATGGTTCAACATTACCAACTCAAAATTTGAGAAATATATTGAGGACCACAATGTGGGATCGTCTAAGGAGCTACTGACAAATTGTGTTTACCTAGAAGACAGCAGTGTAGACATTTGTGGAATCAAGATATACGGAGCTCCATGGTAGGTGAAAAATCAGCTCACCTTCACATTGTTAATGTAAGCAAATGTCGTGAGTCTTTGTCTGTCCACACACAACATACAAACTCTATTTCATGCCATAATCGCTTGTGTTACTTTACTGAACTTTCCATACAGACAGATGTGTGTTTGGCCTTTGAATGAGATAAATGGACCTACATGCACTCTTGATGTTTGTGAAGATCTTTATATAAGCTCCACCATTTACAGGAGGTGTAGCACATGCCAGATTATTTGATGGACAGAAGCAATATTTAATCCTATGCTTCAATAATGTATATTAGAAATGTATGCCATGTTCACAGGGTTCCTGAGTTTTGTTTCATGGGATTTAACATTGCTCGGGGGCAACCAATCCTTGACAAGTGGAACTTGATCCCCTCGGACACAGACATCCTCATCACACACGGCCCCCCTCTAGGTATGTACCCTGATTACTCAGGTACCCATCTTTGAATGTACCGCTGAAAGTATGTATCATGATAACTCATGTATGCTTGAGAATATAGCCTGATTACTCATATACGCCTTTTAGAATGTACCGTGGTTACTCATATACCCGACCCTCGAAGATCTGGGTTAGAATTAATAAAAATAATAATTAATTTATATAGTACCTAGTATCCATCTGACTAGTTGCTCTCTTGGTGCTGTAATCAGAATCTGATTATTATTACCACGGATAACCCAAGCTGCCTGTGAGGCACTAGAAGGTTATAGTCACATGAGTTATGTCACCGGGTACCCATTTTCTGCTGGGTGAACAGAGGCAGTTTTGAACAAACTCACTTGCCTAAGGTGAGACCACATGTATTACATGTGCTTCGTTGTGGGGCAGGACTGAAGTACTGGAAACTCTCAGAAGTCAAGCTGCCAAACACGGTCAACCATCCAAGAACTCTCCATGCATGATGTTGCTTAACTTCAAATGATTCATGGCCTGAGCTCTACGCACAGGGCCACACACCACCACACAGTTGTTCAACCCATGCTTGTCATAAGAGGCTACTAATGGGATCAGGTGGTCAGGCTTGTTGACTTGGTTGACACATGTCATAGTGTCACATTTGCGCAGGTCAATGCTCATGCTGTTGATCACTTGATTGTCTGGTCCAAACTTGATTAATGACAGAATGCCTCCATATAGGTGGAATATTGCTGAATGAGATGTTAAACAATAAACCAACCAGCTAAACTACTCCTATTTGAATGTATCCAGATCTCTAATTTGTACACCTCTTTGTATGACCTTTGTTTACTCAGGCGGGATGCTTTATCCTGTTGAACACCATCCAACAGCGAGTGAAACCCAATCTCAATTCTATTTTCTATCTGAACTATCCTGATAGTGGGGTTTGGCAAGTACCTTTGTTACATTCAAAGGAAAGAAGTCCTGGATGCTTCAGGGGCACAAGAGTTGTTGAACACCATCCAACAGTCCTGATAAGTGAAGCCCAAGTATCATCTGTATGGCCACATTCATGAAGGTACAATCTGTTTCTATCTGAACTGTCCTGATAGTGGGTTTGTCAGGGGGCACAGACCAGCAGACCGTCAGTTTGTCAGTAACACTGATACTCTGTTTGACAAGGTTGACATGGTTGAAGGACCCTTCCTCACCTGACCCTTCATACCTGTTACACAGAAGAAACTTGTCATGCAAAAATGCATCATGAAATAACATTTCAACATGTATACAAATGGAAAACTTTATTTTTGTTCTTTTTGTTTACCCTGTCTACCACCATTATTGATGTATCGGCAGTAGGCTCAAGAAACACAATTTGATCAGCCCTTGGTAGAGAGTTTGCCATTGGCTTGAATGCTTTCATTTCATCTGCAATGATACAAAATCAAAAGTAGTCTCCCTTTCTTGAAATACATAAACATCAAGGCAATTTCTTGTGGGAAAAACAATGAATTGGTCTGTTTCATGAAACAAGTAAGTAATTTAGTTTGATCTTATGAAACTGTTATCAGGGTTAGTAATCCCAAAATGCCTCTGTAGGAAAGTATGAAAAGGTTATATGAAAAGCACACCTTGTGAAATAGGAAGCACACAATCCCTCTTATTATTTTGGGTGAAAGGTTTTGAAAAATAAGTAACTTAGAAAAGGTTTCATACTTGCGATGTGAATAAGCAGACATCTTTTCAGTGATACTCTCTGTCTCCAGGTTATGGAATGAGTACCGATGGGACAACAACGTTCATCAACGCCTCAATGTGTACGTTGCGTTACAAGCCTGACAACCCTGCTGTTGTCATCGACGTCCCTCTTCCTGACGGCCACTCGAAGGAGGAGCTGTCTGCAGTGTTCACCCCGACCTCACATGTGGTCATGATGTTAATCAGGGATTATTGACAGTTTCTTTGCATATGATGACAAGCTGACATGCAGTTTCCTACCTCCATTCACTCAAATAACATTTATCAAAATATTGTCACTTTTGTAATCAAATTGTGTAGATGAAAGCAGGTATATTACAAATACCTGTGAAGTGTGAACTTGTATCAGTGGCAATGCGTTGTACTCATTAAGATATGTGTCATTGATTTACACTTGAGCTTTCTATACAAGTTCAGTGAATGCGTTGTACAGTTTATGTTTTCAAGTACTATTGCACTGTTTTTCAGTGTAAAATGTTACACAGTTCTATTCCACATTCCATGTATGTATTTTTTTAAAAATGTTTAACTTCTTAAGATTCCTCACGTATATAATTATTTTCTTTTTTGTTGAACAAAGAGGATGTGACAGACTTTCCTGTTTGGCTTTTGTTTTCAAGAATCTATTCTTTGCTGATTCATGTCTGAATCCGGTTGGTGTGCTATCTGTCCTGTGTATGGCAACAGTCTGGTTTCTTCAACATTGTTCTTTGCATGGAAGTTAAAAGGGCACTTCCTGGGAAATGCTTTGTGCTGTCTGACATTTATCTTGTTGGTGGGATGTAAATGTTTTTCTCCACATTGTGATACACTGAATACTCTTTCGGACACCTTACTAGAGGAACCAGCAAGACAGGATCATGACCACAGTGCCAGACAAAGTCTTTGTGTGGAACAAAAGAACTCACGATCTGTTTCTAGAATGGATGTGTTTATTGAAGTTTTCACCTCTGTGTATAAAGGCACATATTGTATTGTGAAGTTTGGTTGCACCAATGACAACCTGTAGCAAGCAAGCTGATATGAAGTATATACCTCTAGTGGAATATTTGGTGTTAATGTGAAATCTGCCCCACACCATTTGAAGTCTGAAAACAAAAAAGTCTTCATATACATCAGACCTCTACAACCTTAGACAACACCAAACCATACTAAATGATGATAGCAAGTCTATATTAATGACATTTACAATTTTTGATCACTCTCAACTTTTATTAATTTACTGACTGACTGACTGAGTTTGGTTTTACGCCGCTTTTAGCAATATTCCAGCAACATCACGGCGGGGACACCAGAAATGGGCTTCACACATTGTACCCATGTGGGGCTTCGAACCCGGGTCTTCGGCGTGACGAGCCAACGCTTTAACCACTAGGCTCCCCCACCGCCCCTTTTATTAATTTAAGTGAAGTTCCTTCTTGGAGGCTCCTTAGTTGTTTGTCATGCATGTCGGCGTCAATGGCTGCGTTGATGGCTGTGTTCCATGACCCTGGCTTTGTCAGCATCATACCTGTGTCCATGACTACCACGGAAGTGTTGCTTTACAAAACTGTGTGCCTTAGTTGCCAGAATGGTGGTGTAAGAATCTTATTTTGGAATGTGATCGGTACCACACCAGTGGTTTTCAACAAAGTGGCAAACATCGACAAGAGTCACCATGGACATTAGGCTTCACCGTCTGAAGAAGGTACAGTTAACTTGCCATGCATATGAAGGTGTAATAGTACCCATGTTTGGCATGACTATTTACTCAGAGGTTCAATCATATTGCAATGAGCCTCCATCCAGTCAAATAGACACATGAGAACAAGAGCACCTACATTTAACTCAGTATTGGCAAGGCAAGATTTACTAATTGTATTCTGTAATATCAAATGTATGCCACGTTCTATCCTGAATGTTTTGTACAACATTACAACTTTATAATATCCTCCATTATGAATACATGACAGTGTGAATCTCATGCCACCTCTACAAGCATCAGACAAACATGGGCTATATTATGCTGTATGTTTGTCTCTGATAATATGTTTGAATAAAGTTTATTTTTATTTGAGTCCTGAGTATTTGTATTTCAGTGGAATCTGTCAAATCCAGACTGTGTAATCCGGTTTTCTCCATAATCCAGACTATTCACTGAGTCCCACATCCAGCTGATGCATCAAGAAAGAACTGAAGCCCCATCTTAGTGATACAACTTTCTCTAGTGGTACAGCAATTAAGACACTCCTCCGGGCAAATGGAAGAGGATCTAGCAATGGAAGCCCCAACCCTAGAGGATGTGTATACCAAATACCATGCAGCTGTGGCGATCAATATATTGGCGAGACTCTCAGGCCCATTAACACCCGGGTTGCTGAACACAAGTCGTCAGTATGCAAACAAAATGATAAGTCAGCTATATCGGAGCACAAGGCAAATAACCCAAGTCATGTAATCATGTGGAATGATATCAGGGTGATTTCGAGAAATAACAACGACTGGCGTCGGAGAAAACTACAGGAGGCTGTCGAGATAAGGAGACATAAACCAGCAATTAATCGTGATCAAGGTGTATACCTGCCAAGTGCGTGGGACCTCTTGATTAACTTTTGATGAACTTTAGATAAAAGAAAAACGAGTCTACTATTCTTTTTGGAAAGCCTGCTATCAAGTAACCTTTGTGTAATTAGCAGTTGTTGTGTATTGACAATTCAACTTTCAACTCTATTATTTAGCATGAATTTTCATCATTATGTAATTAACTCTTCAAACTCACTTATACAGTACTCTCCCTAGTGGACTGTGATGTCACTTGCATTGTGACGTCATAACTCAGTTATGACGTCATAGTCCTAACTACCAGTTCACCTGATGAAGGGACCTGGAATGGTCTCGAAACGTCGTGAGAGAAATTAAAAAGAAGTTTAATCCATAAAAATATCTTGGACATATCATCTAGTTCTACCTCTGTTCATACAGACAATATTTGTTGAATGTACATATAGTCCGTTTGGAAAAACTTAAAATAGGGATAAGTGCACAAAACATAAATAAATAAATAAGTGAAACCTCTGTACCCAACAGGATCTAAAATCTGACGTTTTATGATCAATCACGGAAATAGTTGTTTAAGAAACTATCATGTAACATTGTTATATTTTCACTCTTCACGCCGAGGGGTGACAAACGGCTGGTGGAACAGCTCTGGCACGCACTTCAGTTGCAACTCCGCCTAGCCCCCTACTGGTCAGGATACGGTCGGCGCTGTTCCATAATAAACAACTTTTTCTGTGATTGATCATAAAGCGTCAGGGGTTTCAGATCCTGTAGGGTACAGAGGTTTCAGCACCATGTGTCTTATTTATGTTTTGTGTACTTATACCAATTTCAAGTTTTTTAATCATTTGTCATTCTCATTTGACTGACTGACTGACTGAGTTTGGTTTTACGCCGCTTTTAGCAATATTCCAGCAACATCATGGCGGGGACACCAGAAATGGGCTTCACACATTGTACCCATGTGGGGATTCGAACCCGGGTCTTCGGTGTGACGAGCCAATGCTTTAACCACTAGGCTACCCACTGCCCCCATTCTCATTTGAACCCAAACGGACTATAGTTTCTGATAGCTGACACTGTGTTATCGCCAGATAACTATATGTTTGTGGCACAAATCTATGACCATGTTTCTCCGTCATCCATCAGTCAGTCAGTTTTCTCTGAAGCAAAATACAAAGAAATTACCGACATCATATCCTCCTGAAAAGCTCTTCAGGAGCACAAACAATACTTTTGAAAAAATTTAACAAAGTCATCAGAAGATGACAAATCCCCCCGGCCCCCATCAATTTGAAAGAACAAATCAACTGACAGTTACTTAAAGTCCAACTTGATTTTTTTGGACTAGGTCCAAATTGTTTCCATGGAAATCATGCAAAATCAAAATGCCAAAAATCTGCAAATAGCAAAAGGCAATACTTCAAGATTTGTTTGATGATATGTTTGATGTCAAGTCTTGTAGAAAGATATCAAATGGTTTCCCCGAGTTGTGATCCGGAACGAAACCCTACCCTCCCTTTTGAGACTATCGTTGCCATGGAAACCAAGAAAAATAAAAATGCCAAAAATCTGCAAATAGTAAAAGGCACCACTTTAGGTTTTGTTTGATATATCTACCAAGTCTTGCAGAAAGATATTGAATGGTTTCCGAGTTGTGCTCCGGAAACGAAGCCCACCCATCCCTTTTGAGACTAAGTTCGAATCGTTTTCATGGAAACCAAGAAAAATAAAAATGACAAAAATCTGCAATAGCAAAAGGCACCACTTCAAGATCTGTCTCATATATCTGCCAAGTTCTGTTGAAAGATATTGAACGGTTTTTGAGTTGTGCTCTGGAAACGAAGCCCATCCCTCCATTTTGAGACTAAGTCTAATTCGTTTCCATGGAAACAAAGAAAAATATAAATGCCGGGAATCTGTAAATAGCAAAAGGCACCACTTTAGCTTATGTTTGATATATCTACCAAGTCTTGAAGAAAGATATTGAACGTTTTTCGAGTTGTGGTCCGGAAACGAAGGTCACCCCTCCTTTAGAGACTAAGCCCAGATCGTTTACATGGAAACCAAGAAAAATAAAAGTGACAAAAATCTGTAAATAGCAAAAGGCACCACTTTAGGTTCTGTTTGATATATCTACCAAGTTTTGTTGAAAAATATTGAACAGTTTTAAGTTATGCTCGGAAACAAAATGATTACGGATGGAAGAGGAGTCGACTATATCCCCCTGCATAAAATGCCGGCGGGATAAAAAGGCTCTGACAATACCTAACCTCTTAAGAGAAATTACTGCACATATTCTTTGCAGATTCAGAGACGATATTCATGAAATCCCTTACAGAAAAGGTTTTGTTTTTGATAACTTAAATCTGTCCCCTCAGACCTGGTGAAATCACAACATATTGTTTGCCTCAAGTCTTCATTAGGTCCTTGTCATCTCAGGTTTACAGGTGGACTTAAAATGAGGCAATCTATTCAGTTTCTCCTCCAGTGACCTGGGAAAGTTCACTATCTATCATCTCTCTAGAGCAACTGGTACTAATAATAGTGAGTGAGTTTAGTTTTATGCCGCTTTTAGCAATATGCCAGCAATATCACGACAGGGGACACCAGAAATGGGCTTCACACATTGTACCCATGTGGGGAATCGAACCCAGGTCTTTGATGTGACGAGTGAACACTTTAACCACTAGGCTACCACATCGCCCCCTATTAATAATAGACATTGCTCAAGATGCTACAATACAATCAGAGGATAGGATTAGTCAGTAATAGGTGCTCTTAAAAAACCCAACTTTTCAAGCATGATTTAAAAGTTGTAAGAGCATCAAAGTGTAATGTCCACAGGTAGAGAATTCCAGAGTCATGGAGCAGCATACATGGACCTCTGTAGTACTTCAAGCACTTCATTCTGGCAATAGACCCATGAAGATCTGGATTAGAATTGGTCTACAGCAAACCATGCTTGTCGTAAGAGGCGACTAATGGGATCGGGTGGTCAGGCTCACTGACTTGGGTGACACATGTCATCTTTTCCCAGTTGTGTAGATCGATGCTCATGCTGATCACTGGATTGTCTGGTCCAGACTTAATCATTTACAGACCGACACCATATAGGTGGAATATTGCTTAGTGCGGCGTTAAACAACAAACCAACCAATCATTCTGGCTATAAATCACAAACTAAGTCTTTGATACACATAGATTTTATTAAGTTTCATAACAAGTGTACACATTCATACAATAAACACATCATCATCCACAGTAACAACAGATAGAATATGTCACTGTTACATCACTGAAGTACCAACAAGGTTCCCGAATACAGCTTCAGAGTGGAAGATTCTCATTAACTGACATCAGATCTAAATCTGTTTAATGATATAATCACAGAAACAATCACCAGGTTTGACTGCTGGGGAGGCAGCAAGAAGGGATTTAATTACTTTACTACCTATCAGACTCACAGGTCACTTGCGTGGCCTCAACAAGAAGCCTTGTCTCAATCTTTGGCAACTCCTCATAAAGAGATTCACATTTGGTTAAGTACTGTAGTCCAAAGTTTTTAAATCATCATTAAACTCTATTTCTATTGTAGCCATGTGTATCACTGAGAAGTCTTTCCCACATTTCAACTCTAAGCTCACAACTTCACTTGTTTGAGCACCCAAGTAACTGTGGTCCATATAGGCCTCCAATGCCAGTGTTTTCTGCTGTTGTTTTTTGAAAGAAAAGTGGTCATCTCAATAGCATTCCAACAGATCATAAATCTCAATTTCAACAGATCTCAGAAAAAAACTTAATACACAAAGAACAAAATCCACAAATTAATACTGAATTATCCCATGTCTGCAATTACCAAGAATGCAACATTACACAAGAAGTGACCGACATCATTCTAAACAATACCAATCATCTATGATCTCACATTGAGGTGTCCAGTGTCACATGAAATGACTATTGTATGTCTTCTTGACATGGCTGAAGAGGTCTTGAGGTTCAGACATCTGTCTTCTTGACATGGCTGAAGAGGTCTTGAGGTTCAGACACTTCTTCCCTGCCAGGGTAGGTAACTCTGGTCATGTTTCAGTGGAATGGCTTCAAGTTCAGGGCTTCCTTTCGTAAGCGATTGTTTCGCTTTGACTAACCATAATGTTAAAGTATAAACTTACAACAGTCGTAGCACTTGGATTGCCTGGGCATTCAAAATATAAAGGCTCATTCAAAGGCCTGATATCCTTTGTTTGGAGTGAATGATTTTGGTTTTGTGCTGTGTTCAACAAGATTCAGTAATAGCTCAATGTGTCAGTTGATGAGGAAGAAAACTGTAGGCTTGTAGTAAAGTCATCAAGTACTAACGAGACAGATAATAGACAATACATCTTGAAGTTTGGACCCAAACGTTTTGATCCTGACACTGCAAAGGGATGGAATTCTGTAGAGTATTGCAGCACCTGGTCTACTGAGCCAACACCAAACCAATGTCAACTGTTGTGAGCACAGCCACGTAACACACCAATAGTCAGGACATTACTATCAAGATGATAAACTGACACCAAATCCTTAAGACAAGACCAAGGGAATATTTTCAACTACCACTACCAATGTGATCTGACACTTCTCACATTCATGATAAGAGTGATATATTACAATGATAAAAGGGTACCCAAAAAATTGCACCATTCAAAATAAATAAAGATGTTCAGGTCACAAAAAGTTGCTAAAAGTCTGTTAAAATGGCTGCTATCTCTGCAAAACAATACCCCTGCGTCAGTAGAGGCAAGGCAAGGCTACAATGAATGACAACAAGCAAGTAAACAATTTGCTAGGACCTAACATAAATTGTGAAAGAAAAACATTGCCCCGTGCAATATACACATTATGAACATTACACGTTAATATCTGGACATACACTTTGATATATATTAACAATTAAAGCCTAGATTAATCATGTTTTTATCGACAAGCAAAATGAGACTCAAAAGCAGCTACAGAGAATACGTACATGATTCCACTGATACAATGGCCGGAAGGTGGTGGGTGAGCTAGAATTTCCCTGATTACCAGGGCAAGCAACACTGCAGCCATGTCACGCCAGGGAATTCATGCTAGGGAATCAGCCACATGCATAACACAACAAAGAAAAGTTGACATACAATTGGTCAAGGATAAGCATTCCATACATCTTAAAAATTACAAGAAACAAGGTAAAATTACCAATATATCATCCAATAGAGCTTTTGTCCATATTATCTACCCTCTTATATCTGCACCTCAAACACATTCACCATACACAGTGCAACCTGGTCAATCTGGACCATACCACTCTCAGTGAAGTGGTCCTTTTTCCAAATTTACGAATAAACGTTTGACATCACTTACCATAATGATTCATAAGGCAGGGTTGAGTCTAGATTAATTAGTTAGATTTATAAATAAGATTGATTAATAAATCTGTCCTTGACTTGATATTCCCAAGGCAGACAAGCACTAGGTATGGTGGACGTGTGTGTGAGACCTGCAGTGACACTCTCATTCACGACAGTGAGTTTAGTTTGATGCCCATTTGAGCAGTATTCCAGCATTAGGTGGGAGGAAACATGGAAGTCTTAGGCATTTCAACTTTGAAAAACCCAAGAGGACAGGTATGATGCTGGCAAACACAGAAACACAATATAGGCAAACAAGCATTTGAGCCCACGATCTTGGGTGACAGGTGTGCCCAGGGGACACAACTCTGCACGTCCACCTGCAGTGACCTGGGCCACCTGTCTGTCAACAACATCCCTCCCCAAGTTCATGATCACACATACTGAAGCAAAACATGGAATGCAGCAGTGCAAGGTAACACCTTGTAAGTCAACTTATGATGAAAAATATTTGTAAATATATATGATATTTAAACAATGGTTATATAAATTCAAATGAATGAAATTAAACAGAAAGTAAGCAAGTTCAATGTAGGTTAATCAGTATCAAAGACATTACACAACCCTCCTGAGAGATTCAAATGACCCTGATTAAAAGTACATCCTCCAAATGTTTTGAAACAAAAAGTGGGATTTTGAATACCAAATAAGCACTTTCTTGGCACACCATGCCACGTTAATAGAAATCTGCTTTGAGTTATCTTTCAGTGATAATGACTGAAATATATTTCAGCTGAACAGAGTCTTGTTAGGATGTCTTGATATGTATTACACAGGGTCATGCTTAAATCAGTGACACAGAGTGCGAAGTCACAACACATCGATGACTATAGGCTATGACATACACTGACAGTGCATTCGAGGTGGCCTAAAGTCATGCTACAGAGTCTACTCCGTCCTGGAAGCGACTCACGTCTACTGTGTACTATGGTGGTCAGTTTCTTGTCTAAATGCTGGAGGTGTGCTTACAGGGTACAATAACAAGAATGCCATGATCCATCTGTGAACATGTATTAGCATAATATAATATCATCATATGATGCATATATTCATATGCCATCATACAGAAATGCATGATTTAAATGCATAAACAATGACAGGATTCCAATTTAATAATTTACATTTGATTGAGAGTTTTAACAGCATTTCAAATGTATCATGCCTGTCAAGTTGATTCTGATGAGAATGACAGGGCACCAGCTTCAGGAACTCCTACCTGCTGGTGATATCCTACATGGGGGCTGATTATCCTACCTGCTGGTAATATCTAACATGCTGGTGATATCCTACATGGGGGCTGATTATCCTCCCTGCTGGTAATATCTAACATGCTGGTGATATCCTACATGGGGGCTGATTATCCTACCTGCTGGTAATATCTAACATGCTGGTGATATCCTACATGGGGGCTGATTATCCTCCCTGCTGGTAATATCTAACATGCTGGTGATATCCTACATGGGGGCTGATTATCCTCCCTGCTGGTAATATCTAACATGCTGTGATATCCTACATGGGGGCTGATTATCCTGCCTGCTGGTAATATCTAACATGCTGGTGATATCCTACAAGGGGCTGATATCCAGCATGCTGGTGATATCCTACAAGGGGCTGATATCCAGCATGCTGGTAATATCTAACATGCTGGCGATATCCTACATGGGGCTGATATCCAGCATGCTGGTGATATCCTACATAATGGCAATAAGGGTGACTAAGAACCTCTAAACCCAGATGCAGCAGATCCTCATAACTAGGGACCCAACTGTACACAGTTTGTGCCACCCCACACCACTGGGCCTCCTATGCTGCCTCACTTACCATGCAGGATACCAGTAGTCTTAACCCAAGACTAAATAACTGAAGATAACTTTTGGCCTAACTCAAAATCAAAGCAAGCTAGCCTTGGTACATCACTATAGTATAGCTCTTGTTCTTCAGGTAAACAAATTTGTGATTGAACTCAAAACAGCATTCAGATATATCCCGGCATGTGGGAGGAAAGCCAGAAGTGATGTAGGTTCCAGTCATTTACCACTCTGGCAAATCCAAGAGCACTGCTATGGCGCTGACAAACCTAGAAGCATAATTGGGGCAAAGCAGGATTCAGATCAAAATCAAAGGTGTCTGGCAAGTACAAGGGCAGAGCGAATTGCCTTAGATAACAGGGCAATCTGTCTCTAATGATCATATTAAATCAAACGTTTCTATGTGGAGCCAACAAAAACCTAAAAACATTTCAAACAAAACAATTATTAATGTGTGCAACATATTTGTCTAAGAAGAGTCCATAATCTTAGTCTGCCCATGGATATTTTTTTAATAAATAAATCATGACCCTTTGTAGCACTATTTTCCAGTCGTTGATAAAATCAATCACAAAAATATAGAAACAACTGAAAAATTACAAGTAAAAGAGAAAGGAAAAGTAACCCAAATAAAAATAAAAATGATTATCAAGCTAACATATTTTGACACGTAATGTCTGCACTGAACTTAAAGGTGTCTTTAGCAATCAACAGAGATGATGCATCTCCCATCTTCAGGACAGCATGGTCAGGTTGCCGTAGAACCTCAAGGCCGATGTTGCCAACCCAGTTTGTGTTCATGCTGATATTGTTGCTATCAGTCTTTGGCGATGCCGATGATGGCAAGGATGTAGAGGAACATGTTGACAATGTCCAGGTAGAGGTTAAGGGAGGCAAAGATGTACTCCTCTGGTGATAAAGAGTACTTGTGTTTTCCCCCTAGCATCAGCTGAGTGTCGAAAACCAGGTACTGCAATAGTAACACATGGGTAGTCAGGTACTGGAATAGTAACACATGGGTAGTCAGATATTGGAATAGTAACACATGGGTAGTCAGAATAGTAACACATGGGTAGTCAGGTACTGGAATAGTAACACATGGGTAGTCAGGTACTGGAATAGTAACACATGGGTAGTCAGGTACTGGAATAGTAACACATGGGTAGTCAGGTACTGGAATAGTAACACATGGGTAGTCAGAATAGTAACACATGTAGGTACTGGAATAGTAGTCAGGTACTGGAATAGTAACACATGGGTAGTCAGAATAGTAACACATGGGAATACTGGAATAGTAACACATGGGTAGTCAGGTACTGGAATAGTAACACATGGGTAGTCAGGTAGTCAGGTACTGGAATAGTAACACATGGGTAGTCAGGTACTGGAATAGTAACACATGGGTAGTCAGATATTGGAATAGTAACACATGGGTAGTCAGGTACTAGGATAGTAACACATGAGTAGTCAGGTACTGGAATAGTAACACATGGGTAGTCAGGTACTGGAATAGTAACACATGGGTAGTCAGGTACTGGAATAGTAACACATGGGAAGTCAGATACTGGAATAGTAAGACATAGGCAGTCAGGTACTGGAATAGTAACACATGGGTAGTCAGGTACTGGAATAGTAACACATGGGTCATCAGGTACTGGAATAGTAACACATGGGTAGTCAGGTACTGGAATAGTAATACATAGGCAGTCAGGTACTGGAATAGTAACACATGGGTAGACAGGTACTGGAATAGTAACACATGGATAGTCAGGTACTTGAAAAGTAACAAATGGGTAGTCAGGTACTGGAATAGTAATACATGGGCAGTCAGGTACTGGAATAGTAACACATGGGTAGTCAGGTACTGGAATAGTAACACATGAGTAGTCAGGTACTGGAATAGTAACACATGGGTAGTCAGGTACTGGAATAGTAACACATGGGTAGTCAGGTACTGGAATAGTAACACATAAGTAGTCAGATACTGGAATAGTAACACATGGGTAGTCAGATACTGGAATAGTAACACATGGGTAGTCAGGTACTGGAATAGTAACACATGGTTAGTCAGGTACTGGAATAGTAACACATGAGTAGTCAGGTACTGGAATAGTAACACATGGGTAGTCAGATATTGGACTAGTAACACATGGGTAGTCAGGTACTGGAATAGTAGCACATGAGTAGTCAGATACTGGAATAGTAACACATGAGTAGTCAGGTACTGGAATAGTAACACATGGGTAGTCAGGTACTGGAATAGTAACACATGAGTAGTCAGATACTGGAATAGTAACACATGGGTAGTCAGATATTGGAATAGTAACACATGGGTAGTCGAGTACTGGAATAGTAACACATGGGTAGTCAGGTACTGGAATAGTAACACATGGGTAGTCAGGTACTGGAATAGTAACACATGAGTAGTCAGGTACTGGACTAGTAACACATGAGTAGTCAGGTACTGGAATAGTAACACATGGGTAGTCAGGTACTGGAATAGTAACACATGGGTAGTCAGATATTGGACTAGTAACACATGGGTCGTCAGGTACTGGAATAGTAACACATGGGTAGTCAGGTACTGGAATAGTAACACATGGGTAGTCAGGTACTGGGTAGTCAGGTACTGGAATAGTAACACATGGGTAGTCAGGTACTGGAATAGTAACACATGAGTAGTCAGGTACTGGAATAGTAACACATGGGTAGTCAGATATTGGACTAGTAACACATGGGTAGTCAGGTACTGGAATAGTAACACATGAGTAGTCAGGTACTGGAATAGTAACACATGAGTAGTCAGGTACTGGAATAGTAACACATGAGTAGTCAGGTACTGGAATAGTAACACATGGGTAGTCAGATATCGGACTAGTAACACATGGGTCGTCAGGTACTGGAATAGTAACACATGGGTAGTCAGGTACTGGAATAGTAACACATGGGTAGTCAGGTACTGGAATAGTAACACATGGGTAGTCAGGTACTGGAATAGTAACACATGGGTAGTCAGGTACTGGAATAGTAACACATGGGTAGTCAGATACTGGAATAGTAACACATGGGTAGTCAGGTACTGGAATAGTAACACATGGGTAGTCAGATATTGGACTAGTAACACATGGGTCGTCAGGTACTGGAATAGTAACACATGGGTAGTCAGGTACTGGAATAGTAACACATGGGTAGTCAAGTACTGGAATAGTAAAAAATGGGTAGTCAGGTACTGGTATACAGAGAGCAGCAGCATTATACAAGCTGTCCAATAATACATGTTGTCCAGCTAAATCAGAAATTGATAGTACAAGCAAGAACCAATGTCACTGACATATAATTAGCCTTGTCACATCAATTCTACCAAATTAGGAAATTTTACTATAAATTGTATATTTATATACTTATCCTATCTCACGGTATGCACCTCTCTTCTTCTACAACCATGTGTGGAAACGTGCTGAAGGCTAAGTTGAATCAAACTTCCTGGCCTCTGTCCACCTAACCTCTGACCCCACTCCGACAACAATACCTGTCAATCATCTCAGTAAGCGTGCAGATTGCTCAGATGATCACGTGATGCTCTGTGCCTGTCATTCTCATCTTGGAGCCTCCAGTAATCTGTGATGTGGGGCAGATCGGGTGGGTATCCATCGCGTGAGATAGGATAAGTATATATATATATACAATTTATAGTAAAATTTCAAAATTTTGAAACTTATCCTATCTCACGGTATGCATTATCCCACAGTTTGCTGGAGGGCCGCAGATTACGCTGTCAATCTTTACAACCGTGAGGTGGCATAACACAAGGAGACCAGGAGAAAGCACCAACTCCCGATATGCTAACTCCGAACTTGTGATGGGTTGCTTCTGATAACCCTTTAGCTTACACAACACAAAAACTCTAGGGAGTGGGCGGTCCCGAATTAATGTGGTTTTCAGCCGCAACTTTTGACAAGCAAAGGACGCAGTTTGGCAAGTTGGACCCCGCCTCCCCGCAATTTCTCAAGTGACCCCAGTGAATTAAAGTCGAGGACCTTAATCTGGACAGTCCCTGCTTCGAAACTACCCCCCACAGACACACGCCGGAAGGCGATGAAAGAGGGAGTAGCCCGGTTGCTCAACTTGTTTAACGTTCAGTACCAATCCTCCTTACTTACCAAAGGAAGAAAGGACCTAGGAGCGGAACGCTGCGAAAACCACGCAGGTAATCGGAAATCAACACTTCACTGACGTAATTGCTCAGAGAGTAGAGGTCAGTAAGCGGAGTGTCGACCATCTCTGCATGTAGCACAAGACTGGCCTCTCAGCCTATGAAGTCATAACTATGACAGTGCAGCCACGCCCTGGTTCCCAAGGCGAGTTGGTCTAAGCCCAAGATAAAAAAGGTACAAAGATAAAGATAACATCGAGATCTTTATTAATGTACAGAAGCAAAACCGACACGCGGAAGGACTGCTTCATCTGCGAGCACGGGTCAATGACAGCTGCTGAGCTAGGACCAGAGGACCTAACTAGCCCTCCACGTCCGTGACCGAGAGATCCCGAAGACAATGTGAGGCGAAAACTGTATCCGACTTCCAAAAACATCCCTCCTTGATGGCCTGGAGGGAGCAGTTCCTATGAAGCGCAATAGTGGAAGCTAGGGCCCGAATGAGGATTCGCTGTCGAAGGTGGAGGAAGGTCGGCATAGGCATAAGCACGCAGGATACTGGATCTCAATCAAGACACCAAACTGGTGCGTGAGACTTCCGAGGTAGAGGCAGCAGATAACGGGATGAAAAGTCTCTTGTGCAACCTGCGTCAGTCCTTAGAGGCAGCTAAATAGATCCGCAATGCCCGAACTGGGCATAGAGAAAGATCTTCCGTGTCATCGGGACCCAAGATAGGGGACAGCGTTGGAATCGTGAACGTGCGGTCCGGCTGTCCTGGTAGTTGGTTCTCGGCGACGAAATCCCACCACAAACCAAGAAAAACTTTAGCATGTCTTGACCTTTCAAACCGCACCAGGGAGACATCAAGGGCGTGTAACTCGGAAATGCGGGCAGCAGTGGTACGAAGATGTTGGAGGCACTCTGCCACCAACTGTGGCGAAACAGTAGTGGGAGAAGCTATACCTCTGGCCTTGCAGTACACCTCAAAGTTCTTGTCATCATAGAGTGACCTAGTAGATGAACGATGCGCTGTAGCAACAGGCTTAGAATATCCATATATGGCGGCGGTCTGTAAATAAGTCGAGTCTGGACCAGACAATCCAGTGGTCAACAGCATGAGCATCTACGCAATTGGGATAAGATGACACGAGTCAACCAAGTCAGCAAGCCTGACCATCCGACCCCGTTAGTCGCCTTTTCGTGAAGAACCAAATTCAAAAGGCACAGCATCTCGGAATTAAATCTGTTTATCTTTGTGATGTGATTGAGGCATGCAAGGTGAACTCTAGTGAGGATGATCTAGAATCTAGAAATACCCAGAACATCTTCAAGCATAAGACAGACGCTGGCCATTTCACTTCCATTGAACAGTTTGTTTAAAAAAAGGTGGTTATCTATATCCTCTTCACATATTATTAAAATGGAACATTTTGAATTTGGAGATAAGTTCAAATTCATAAACAATTTTGTTGGTGTTCCAGACAGATCTTGCACCTTTGTCATCTAGTGTCCAAGTGACATTGTGGGATGCAAAATGTTAGGCAGTAGGGGCACTTGACCGGCCCACATGAGGTGATGACAGCATGGAGATAGGACAGGGCTTAAAGGCCGGGGTGCAAACCTCCAAATTCCCCATGGGTTCCCAAATAGTCACCCATTGGCTACTCCTCAGCAGTGTAGATGTTATCTGCCCATGAGTGACAGGACTGTAACGGCTTTGGGTGCCTGGCAAGTGCCAGTGGGAGTCTGGGGATGTCAAAGGTTAAGCTTGGAATTTACTACTAGAACAAACATGTGCCTGATAGTAAATGTCCAA